TACACACTATCCCACCACAAGTAGTCAGTACACACACACACATATACACACACATATATATATATATATATATATATATATATATATATATATATATATATATATATATATATATATATATATATAATATATTATATTGTTAAATATAACAGACATTGAATGTCTATTATATTTGATCATGAGCCGTTGTAAACTTCGTATATTTGCTTTAATTTTGGGTGAAAATAAAGACAAAATTGTCCATCCTTTGAATATTTTTTTTTTTATTAAGCTGTTCCTTGATCTAAGATTTCGGCTGACCTGAGCCATCTTCAGAGTGGTTATGCGGACATTTAAACAAAGATGTCCACCATCAAATATGATATTCTGTTATGCTGACATAGAAGATTGCTACGTAACGATAACGGTCGCAGAATAGCAGACGCAGGTCGTAAGTCAGGGGTGGGCAACTCATTCGACCCCGCGGGCCGGATCGTGTTATAATGACGGGTCGGGGGCCGGACGAAGGACATTAATGAAAAATTAAGGAAAATTACATATGCAGATCCCCTGTCACCCTAAATATTTAAAACCATAATGAAAATAAACATTGAGAAATCAGAAAAAACAAAAGAAAATCTAAAATTAAAAACACCTAACAAAAATTTTTTCCTCAAGGAACGTCAAAATACTTCAAAGTGAAAAAAATCAACCGAAGTGAAATGGATGAAATTATGACGTGTAGGTTTGAAACTGTTATTGAAAAATTGTTCCACAAACGAACCACACACACACACACACACACATCAAAAAAAAAACGATATATATATACCCATACATACAGTACAAACAGTTGCAAACATATACACTTACGTACGTACACATGCGGTATCATCCACACATTCATGAGGCATGTATGTATAATGCGCGTATGTTTAACTGTCTTTAGATTTCTGCTACCTCGCATGTCAGTCCCTCCCTGGCTTCTTTCACTTTATCGTTTCTTTTCGCTTCTGTTATCTTTTAATATAGCCAAGGGTCATAACAAATATGTATCTATTATTTGACATTAAACGTAGGCAACGCAACTTGGTAAAATCTAATATTTTTAGTGCACTGAGATGTGTAGACATTCTATGGAAAATGACATGTAACAAATTTCATTTGAAGGTCGTCTCTCATGTTAAAAATAGTCATTGGTAATCAGGCTCGCGGGCCGGTCAAAATGCCTTCGCGGGCCGGATCCGGCCCGCGGGCCGTAGGTTGCCGAGCCTTGTAATTTCAAGATGCAGTTCTTTGTCGTCGTACCACATGAGAGACCGAAATAATAACAACAGAACCATATGTCTAGCTGCAATGTAATGTGTTGTAACTAGTTTGAAATATAATTTTGTTGTGTGGGGGTTGCTTTGTTTTAATGTAGATGGCCTCCATTTTCTAAGGTATTTTTACTGTGTCTATATATGAGTATTATTGTGTTATTAACTAATATCTGTTTAATATTATGTACATGGCTATGTTTTTTAAGATCAGAAAGGTAACAGGTAAGTCTACGAGAGAGCATAGTTGTAGTAAAACCAATCTATGTAGTGGGTTTATTATTAGCATCAGAGATATAATCTCTGAATGGACATGTAAATTGATACACTACATTGTTTTTTTTTTTGTAGAGGATTTAGTTTTGTGGTTGTAGGATTATTAAAGACTAGGAGGTGAACTGTTTTAATTTTTTTATAACATATGATAAGCTTGTTTATTGTTATTAATGGGTTTAACATTTCTCCCTATTATGTTGTTTTGATCATGTTTGTAATTATTATGCATTTGGTTACAATAGTATAAGTAAATAGTGTTATGTTTATTTTGATTTATTAGAGGTATTATTAAGTTTATTGAGATACATTTTAATTTGTTGATCAATGATAGAATTAAGAAATCCATTATTAACAAGTGTTTGTTTAATGTTATGTAATTCTTTATAGAAGATTTTTTTGGAAGAATATATCATTTGTGTGCATTGGATTAAGTTTTTTTATAACAGCTAACTTATATCATTGGGGCATTCACTATTGTAATTAAGAAGACACAAATTAATGCTAGTGGGTTTCCTATATAGAGAAGTAGTAAGTTTACGTGTGCTGAAATCAATAAATACATCAAGGAATGGAATTTTATTATTAATATTAAGTTCTAATGTAAATTTGAGGGCGGAGTAACTTTCAAATTTGTTTTTAAGTTGTGTAATTTGATCAATATTTTTAGCTAAAACAAAAATGTCATCTATGTTTCTTACATATATAGGAGGTTTATTAGTGTCATTAAGTATTTTATTTTCTAAATGTGCCATATAATAATTAGAAAAAGGGGGCCTAAAGGAGATCCCATTGCAATACTGCAATATATTTGAGTATAAGTGTCATGAAATGTACTTGAGTGGTACATACTAATAATAATTTTTTTTAAATAGTGGGTTTAATATTGATAAGTGGGAGAGAAGTGTGATTGTATACATCATGGATAATGATATCAATTGTTTCATGGATGGGGACATTAGTAAATAAATTTTGTCCGTCCAAAGATGGGATTTGGTTGTTTGGTTTTACAGCATAAAGAATTTGTATAAATTCATTTGTGGAGTTAATTCAATATTTACTTGGGAGGTAGGGAGTTATTAATTTATTAAGGATTTTTGAAAGGTAATATTCTGGTGTAGGTATTTGTGAAATGATAGGTTGGAGGGGATTATGTTTTTTTTAATGGATTATTACATTTTTATAAAGGTAGCCAGGTAGATAGTCACCTATAATCTTTTTGAAGTTTATAGGATCCCTGTCAGCAACATTGTTAGCAGTAATAAGTTTATTGATGTGGTTTTTAAGTTGGGGGGTGATGTCATTGGTTAACTTTTTAAATTTATTATGATCATCCAAAATGGCCTGTAATTTTGAGTGGCATTCATGTTTGTTTAAAATAATGAAAGTATTAGTTTTATCAGCTTGTCAGATAACAAGTGTTATCTTTTTAGTTGTGTGGCTGCTTTTATTAAAGGAGTGTTTATATTCGGATTTTTATGATAACGGTGTTATATACTCGGCTTTAAGTAATTCTTTTAAACCTACCGGTGTAGTAATATGCCTGTCTTATTCCACTAGAAGTATTTGTTGGTATAAAGCTTCAATTTGCGTTTGTTTAAAGATTAAATTAGGTGTCTGTACGACATGAAAATTTCATTCAAGATTAAGGAATTCCATTTCATTTGGAGTGAATTGCGAATTCGATAGATTAATGAAATTGTCGTTGATGTTTGGTAAAAAAGTATTTTTCCTTTACATAATTTGTTTAGCTTTCTTTTTTTTTTTTTGGATGACTTCTTTAGGGGATTCATTTTCCTTTTGTGTTGTATAATAAATCTAATATTTCCTTGAGTTTTTCAGTTGTAGTAGGAGATTGTAAGATTCCTTTAATAAGCACAATTTCAGTCTTGAGCCGTTGTAATATTTGTTTAGCTGTGTTTATTTGACATTTAATGAGGTTCCAGTGAAATTTCTTGGTGTTGGGATCGTTTAATGCTACGGCATCATGTAACTTGAATTTAGTGTATTGGGGCAACAGATCAATATTCAAACAAATATTATTAAATATAACAGACAACGAATGCCTATTATGTTTGATCAGGAGCCGTTCCATATATCTGTTTTAACTTCGGGTGAAATTTTTGTTTATGTGAATCGAAAACTTAGATCAAGGAACAGCTTATTAAAAAAATATCCAAATGTTGGACAATTTTTGTCTTTATTTTCACCTGAAATGAAATCAAATATATGGAGTTTTAGAACGACTCATGATTAAACATAGTAGCCATTCGTTGTCTGTTATATTTAATAATATATGTTTAAATAATGATATGTTGCCCCAATACACTATATATATATATATATATATATATATACATACATATATACATACATATATATATATATATATATATATATCATAGGAAATGGATGGATTAAATCCGACAACTATTTAATGCATTTTCTATTTATACGTTATTTTATATGGATACACTTATTTAAGTAAATGCTCTGTTCTTTAATTACTAGAGAGTCAGTGAAATGCTTCTTGGCTTACAAGGTGGTTATACCAAATATCCTTGCTTTTTGTTTCTTTGGGACAGTCAAGAAAAAAGTGGTCATTGGATACGAATGATATGGCCAGGTAGAATATTCAAAATTGAAGTGGAGAATGTTTTAAAGAGGCCGCTGATTACTCCCAGAAAGGTTTGCTTTTCTTATTGCATATCAAGCTTGGGCGGATAAAGTATTTTGTGAAAGCCTTAGGCCAGGATGGTGACTGTTTCAAATAGTTAAGCTTTTAACCTTGTGAGAAAATTAAGGCTGATGTATTTGACGTGCCACAGATGAGTGATGAGCAAGAGGAAAAATTCCACCAAGACCCTGAAGTCAAGGTGGAGGGGGTAACAAACATGATGGCTGACTACTCCTGGTATCTGCAAAGCGACCGTCGCGGTGCAAGTTATTCACTCAATGCACAAAGAAAAAGTTCACTGCTTGAATATCTATCCAAAGATGTGCAATTAGAAATTTTGTGTTAAACAATAAAAAGTACTATTAGAACAGTGTTAGTTTCTTATTTCAATATTGCATTCAATGGCGAAATTGACATATTTTGGTAAAAAAATTAATACTTGTTTAATAAAAACTTGACATGATAGAACATTTCTGATGCGATTTCTGAACTCCCCACCATCAAATTGAGTAGAAACAATTGTATAAAGAAAGGCAACTAAAAAAAAACTTTCGAAAATATTCCCGTTGGCATTGAGCGCTTGCTTTATTTTATATTTTAAGCTTTTTGTTTATATTTTACTATTTGTGACAATAATTGTGGAAGTCGAGAGTATATGAATACAAAAAAAAGCATTTACCATCGACAATTTATTCATAACTTCAATTGGAAACTGGAAAGATAAAAAGTTAGACAGTTCTTGTGGGTGGAAATTAATAAAACTTGTTTAGATAGATAGATAGATAGATAGATAGATAGATAGAAACGATTAGATGTGACTTTTAAAGGAATGAAAAAGAATAAAAGACATAGTTGCATATTCAAAATGAACAAATACACTGGTAGTCTCTGTCGTCTATGTTTACATCCGAGACTAATTTCCAACAATAATATTGTTTATATTATTAGGAATTCAGTATCTGCCGGGCATTATTTAAACAAAAGAATTTTTACTAAATCCTTAAGATAACTCAAGTCTCTATTTTACTATAAGTTTCACTTGCTTTATGTGTTTATTCATTCTAGATTCTTTCAGCCATTTTATTGTAAGGTTTTATGTTTAAAAAAAGGAGAGAGATATTTATCAAATCAGACATTTACAAAACACTGGCGGAATCCAATAATCGAGCATGATATTTAAGAAGTGAATGTCGAGAAAATCGGACTAGGAAAGTCATCACAAGAAAAAAGGCAACCATTTTATTTTCATAACTATTATGAATTGGGTTCTTCTGTATATTAACTTCATCGTTAATTTTGGAAATGAGATTTCGATATTTTGTTTATTATAAAAACTGTGTAACATGATTTTTGTCCTTGTGTAGAATCTGTAGGTTCCTATTTGCTTATGTCTAGAAAGTATGAAAAATGTCTAATATTTGCTTCAAACTTTGCTTTTGTGACCAGGATAATGATATTTCTGAAATTTACCTATTCCCATTGGGAAAACTGGCGATTATAAACATTCTTGTTCACGCAAAAATAGAAAATCGGGGGTACACGGTAATATTTTACTGGTGTAATCTCTTCGGAACAGTTGTAACAACTGAGAATTGAAATTTCTACAGCAATTTCCGCCATATTAAAATACTAAAAACAAAGAAATATCTCTAAAACTAGCGGAAAACGAAATTAATCGATGTAAGTTTTACACTTTTACTCTACCAGACGTTTTGATTGTTAAAGTTGAATAAAAATTAAGAAGGATATATGAAGGAAGGATTATATATATAAAGGAATTTTATATAAAGACCACTAAACTTATCTATTAGTAAAAAATAAAATAAGTTTTCTTTTCATCGAACGGTTATGGGGGTCCACCAAAAAAATGAAGAATGAAAGTCGTCATGAGTAAAAAAAAAAAAAAGTTTGAGAACTTCTGCTCTAGAGAAAAGCAATTAGTAAATAAATCTTACCAATCAAAGACATAAAAAAAAGTCAAAATTGTATTACACGGTGTATTTTATTCTTGGCTACAAAATAAAGTTTGGAAAATATTTTTCTTTTTTTATTGCGATGCCCATTCAACTCTGCAATTCAATTTTGAATCTGGAATAATCACTGCAGTAAACAAAAAATGAATTTTGAACAATTTATTCATAACTTCAATCCCGATGAATAACAGCTCAATCAATCGGAATACTTCAATATGTAATGTAGTCTGGAAAAGGTTAAATTGATTGATTGTTTACTTTTTATAATTTATCAACCTTTTGTAGGTTATTTTAAAGCCACAAAATATTTTTAGATTGTGAGAATTTTTTTTTTTGGTGGGGGGAGGTAGGGGATAGCGATTTACTGATACAAGCCCTCCGAATTAACCAATAGCTGGTGGGAGAAGAGGTGGATTCATACATTCCCCAAGAATATTTATGCCTAAGTGAATATAAAGAACTCGACTGGAATTGAAACTCGGCTCTCAATTTACCAATTCTGAGCCGTTATCCATTACAGCATCTGACATTCCCAAGCGGTCACCCATCTAGTTACTGACCAGGCTCGACATTGCTTAACTTCGGTGATTATACGAAACCTGGTGTTTCAACTTGATATGGCCGTAAGAGAAGGTTGGAAGCACATAACGTAATTATTTGTCTATGAGGGTAACTAATGATATATATTTGATAGATTAAAAGGTCAGTATATATAAAGTGTTAATATGTTTTTGTTGCCGAAGGAAATCTCTTTAGATGGATCAAATGGACACTAAAAAGAAAAAAGAGTTATGTTAACCAGTAACGGGAGGTAGATAATACCAGACAGAAGTGTTTTATAATCATGTTAAAATGGCTGAAAAAAAGATTGCTTACACTTTTATTTCCAAGGGTGACAAATAAATTACTAAATATTGCGTGTTCATTGCGGGTGGCAGAAGTTCAACCCCTGCTGTGTTCTGGCCTCGGATGGACAGATAGAAAACTGACCATTGAACAACGTTTCCATCTCTCAGTTCTCCTCACCACTAAACAAAAGCGGTCAGTAATGATGACAACAACGTCGGTAATCGGTAGTTATTTTTGGGTAGGTTTTTTTTTTTTTTTTTTTCTTGGCACAGCTTCTGTTCAGCCCGGGAGCAAGACACGGCAGAATCTACCTTACCTCTAAACCCACTCAGGCCTGAAGCAGAATTAGTAGAGAGTAAATGCAAGAAGTCTGGAACTTCCAAGAAGTGTGACCCCATTTGTATTGCTAGCAGGGGGAGGGAAATGATTAATTCATCGATGTATAGATCAGCCTGCTTACTCACGTTTAGCAGGCGACTTGCCTATGTTGGATTCTAATGCCGTGTACAACTTCCTAATTTATTAGTAACCGATTAGTTTCCAAGGGTCGATTTACAATGAAAGATTAACATGTACTTGAAAGTATTTGTTGAATCGTTTCATCACGAGCAAGGCAATAAAGCCACTAAGACGCAAAGAATTACTAAAAGTGAAAGAAATGAAGAAGCAATATTGAGAAGAAAGAACAATAAAAGAACAGGGTTCAAGGAGAAGGAGACGACGATTGACATTGCATTTAAATTTTGGGAGATTGTAGTTGACAGGAAAGCAATAAACCGGAAGAGAGCCTCACAGTGCGAAAAAGGAAACTATTAGAATAAACCTTATGGTTACAAATAGCTATTTCAACAGTAAAAATGATGAGATCTAACCGCCAATCTAGTACTACGCTTAAATTTGTGAAGACGTAGTGTCAAAGAAGAAAGCTCATCAGAACAATTGCCATTGATATATTTATAGAAGAGGCAGAGGGAAGCTACGTTACGGCATAACACATATTAACATGGTAAATAATGAAATAATCTATTCAAGTATATGGAATATTATGCTAATGTTTCTGAGGCCTGCATATTTTAGATTTATTTTTAAAGTAAAATATTAGTACCCAACAGCCTGCAAAAAAGTGATTTTCAACATTTTTGGTAAAGCTGAAACACACAGGATAAATTGCTAATATAATTGTTTTTAATCATTTCATCCCAAGCAAGGCGATAATGCCACTAAGACGCAAGAGGCTACTGGGAGTGAAAGAGAATGAATGATTGATTCCTTTTCTATGGTTTATAAACCCTTTGCAGGTTATTTAAAGCCAGAAAATATTTTTATAGTGTGTAAGAATTTTTTTGGAGAGAATGGTTTAGTGACATAAGTATTACTAATTAATGGTTTATTGATATAAGTCTTACTAATTAACCCGTATCAAATAGGTGGAATCATACCTAATCAGAATTTGATAAATAAGCAAGAAATTATAATGCGGATGTAAAGTGGGGGATCAATTGTCTGTTACAATCAATATATAAACTGACTAGATTCCAGAGAATGTAAATAAATCTAAAAGATATACCAGAGAAGTTATCAGTATTTATTGATTGATAAATTCGTTTTCTCTAGCCAGAAAATATTTTTAGATTGTAAGATTTTCTTTTAGTGATATACAACAAGTCTAACTAATTAACCGGTAGCAGTGGGCGGGGGGAGAAGAATTTGATTCATGCCTTTCCCAAGGGTAAATGAATATAATGAAACCAACCAGAATTGGAACTCGGTTCACTGATTAACAAATTCCGAGACATTTCACCACCCGCACATCCAAGCTTATAGCACATGGTATTCCTAAGCGATCACTCATCTAACTACTGACCAGGTTCGACGTTACTTAACCCCGGTGACCGTTCGGGAAGCGGTGTTTGGATGTGATGTAGCCATAAGCCGAAAGAGGATGGGAAGACTTTAGGGAGGAACAGGAAAAGGGAAGATGACGATTGGTGTTGTATTTAAATTTTTGAAGATTTTAATTCACAGGGAAGCAAGAAATCGAAAGGAGAGAAGTGTGAGAAAAGAAACTATTAGAATAGAACAAACGGTTGCATCTAAATATCTCAACAGTAAAATGATGAGACCTACACCCTGGCTGAAGTTATTAAGCAAATTATATTCAAATTAAATTCAATAATTCAAATTTGATTGTTAAATAATCAAATTTGACAATTTTTTTCAACCAATTTAGATGTCAAAACAAAACCTTAAAAGTTAAATTCTTAGCTAGTATCAATAAGTTTTATCGACTTTATTGAAATTATTTGATGTATTGTAAAAATTGCTCTGAAAATATTAGGCAAGAACCAAATAATCACATTTTCAGTCAGTTATGTGCCACGCGTGATACACGCTTAGGCGATCATGTGTCTTTCGATACATGACTGATGAGATAGAGTTTTTTTTTTCCGCAGTAGGTTGACATTTCTTTCTGCGGTAGACCAGTTGCCATCCAAGTCTATAGAACCCGGTCTGTCCTCCTATTTACCCATAACTGGAGGGGATGGGAGAGGATTCATACCATTCCCACGTAAGTGAAGGTAATGGATTCGACTGAAATTCGAACTCTGCTCAAATTTCAGTCAAGTTCAAATCACATTTTACTTCAATAAAAAGGTAATAAAATCATCAAAAATAATCAGCACCTATAATCGAACAAATAACAATCACTTATGATAAATGTTTGAATTATTTACATTTTAAGATAGCCACCCTTCTTCTCAATAACAGCCATTAATCCATTGATTTTGTTAATTTTGTTTTACTTCAGCAGGTTCAATTTCTGATATGGTAGATTTAATTGCTTCCCTTAGGTCTGCTTTGCTGTTATATTGTTTGCCAACTTCATATAATTTCATCTTCACAATTGATCATAGATTTTTGATTGGATTCAGATCAGGACTTGATGGTGGCCATTCCATTATAATAAAACTGCAATAGTTAACACAGTTCATTTTAACTCTTTCATCGACTTTCAATGACCAAATAATGGTTTGGTTGATAATTCCAGACCAAATCATAACACTACCACCTTGTTTTTGCCTTCTTTTAGCCACGGGCACATCTGAATTGGATTAAATCCATCCTTTTTGGTCCTTTTGAGATTCGGCCGTGGAAATTACTTTAGTATGTATTTCTTGGCCCAATTTTGACGCTTTAAAATATTTTCTTTTGTGAGGAAGAGGTTACCTAGTAAATATAAAATCCCAATTCACAAAGTATTCTACACCTTTTGTCCTTTATGACTTCTTCAATTCCAACCTTTTCAAAGATCACTGGTCAAAAGTGATTGTTTTACTATAACTCACTTTAGTTTACATTCATCTTGAGGAAACAAGTTCTTGAAGCATTTTCCTTTGCTTCAAGTTCTCAACTTATATTTTATACATCTTTCTTTATCATTCAATGATCTCTCCAAAGCTCTTTAGAAATCACCAATGTGGACATACCTTCACTCAATAACTTTGTTATTTTCTGTTTTTCAGCAGTTGTTAGATCTTTCCCTTTACCCATGTTTCAACATATATTATAAACAAAAAGGAAAATAGTTTTTATTAGATTCCAGAGGTTTTAAACTAATATTAGTTTAATCTGCATATTAATTTCAATTAGTCCATTTTCATAAATTCCAAATATCTCAAAAACTAACCATTAAAAATGGCATAAAATTTAATTAAATATTTTACTAATGGTGGAAATGGAAGAGTTTAAATTTGACAAATATTGGTTCAGAACTTTTTGAGTTATTTAGGTTTATTTGATTTGCATAATAACTTCAGACAGGCTGTAGTTACTAATTTAGTCGTATCAGTCCAGACACCAAAGAGAAAAGCTCATCAGATCAGTTGCAATGGAAATATTTGTTGAAATGACAGATGGAAGCCGTACCACGTGGGTAAGAAAGTGACTGAAATCCAGTTGCCAGGTCAGGATCGATTACATTACAGATCTTTCTTTGAATTTTGTTGAGAATCTCGAGGTATATAGCAGGAGCACCCGACTAGACGTGGTAGCAATATTCAATGCACGGATGAATATTAGATTTATAAATGTGCAAGAATGGATTCTATCGAGAAAAATTGTCAGGCACGACACAGTGAAATAACTTTTCTAGCAGGAGACCTAGCAATTGATTCAGTATAATTACTCCACTTCATTTCAGTGGAAAACGTGAGCCCAAGGAGTTGCTCTCCTAGAGGTTAGCATCAGCCATAAAGATGTTAGGTAGAACAGGTTCTTTATTAAATGAAATACTAAAGAATGCGAAGTTGGTATTGACGATGGATGCGTTGGAAATTCCTCCCAAGAATTTCCTCGTAAAATATTTTATTGCCTGCGCAAATTAAACGGAAAGAATACAAAAGTGATGGACAACGATGAACATGTAAAGACATTGTTTTTAAAGATGTAAAGATGTTCTTTTTCGTACGTACGTATGTGTAGAGTTCGTATGAAAGATTTTTAGGAAACTTACATTTTTTTAAAAATCGGTATCACCCCAAGCAAGGCAGTACAACAACTAAAACGCAAAAAGTTACAGGATGTGGAGGAATTAGAAACAGAGACATTAGTCATGAGTAGAAAGAGAAAAGAGCAACCAGGAAGACAGTAAATAGCGATTGACATTGCATTTAAATTTATGCAGATTAAAGTTGACTGGAAAGCATGGATCCTAAAAGGAGTTTCACAAACTTTTGAGAACATTTCTTTATTTATTAGCTCGAGTATAATTATTAGATATGCCTGTATTGTATGATGTGTACTATTCTCTATTGTGTTCAATGCGACACGAGGTTCGCTGGAGACTAAAAGGTTATCCAGAGGGGAATAAGATACGTCTTATCTCTAAGGCATCGGTTGGTTGATAATTTTATTGTGAAAACATTGATTTATATACTACTAATAAATATTTTTGTTCTTCACCGTTTGGTACAACTCTGAGTTTCATTCACGTGCCAATCGTCGGGTAAGGGTTGAAAACTGACCGTTGTAAAATTTAAATATGTATAACCTAATGTTAAGAGAGTGGAGCAGTTAATTTAGTTAAGAAAAAAATGTAAAATAGGGATTAAATATGAAAAAAAAAAACAAATAGATTAAAAAAATATACTTGCCTGGCACATGCCGGGTAAGTTTTTATTACCTCTCAATTGCGTCTCTGTCTTCGGGCAGAGTGCGACTCAGTTGTGGCTTCGTCAGAGGACAGAGGCGCAACTGAGGAAAATCACACAGTGAGGTGCCCAGCCCTGGGGAACAGATTCCCGAGGCTGCACCCTCTCATTACACAAGAGAAAGGGTTCGGTGCTCGCACCGAGGCTAGCGCAACCGACGGGGAATTTTTGTCCTTGGCCCGAGTGTACGCGCTCGGGTTCCCCACATTAAACCCGACCTTGTGTCACATCCAGTCTCAGTGGAGAGACCAGGGTAAATATCTACTTACATATATTCAGTTAGAAACATGGAAGTCAAAATGGCTACAATTGAAAGAAAAGAGGAAAAAGAGAGTAAAAAAACAAACAAAAAACAATAAGAACTGTGTGTAAAGTGAAAAAAAAAAACGACGAAAAAGAAAAATAACGATGACATGCTACAAGGGCGCACGAGCGCATGCGTGCGAACGCACGCACACATACATACACTAAAATAACTTGCATCAATGAAAAGTCCATATAAAAAAGAAAAATTGGGAAATATAAGCAGTCATTGCTGATATCCCCTGACTAGTGGTCAGAGTGATTTCAGGAGAGTCCGTCTACAAAACGTTGGAGTCGGGATGCTAAAGGCAACATCAGTCAGCTAAGTGACAAACCTTTTACTTGTATTAATTAATTATATATATATATATATATATATATATATATATATATATATATATATATAATTTCTTAGTACCTCAAATGGATACTACGTCATCACTTCTTGATTTCGGAACGCTATTAATTATACAACCGTTTGTTTAACAAGTCGAATACATGATTAACCAATGAAAATCAAACAACACTAAAATAAAAATACCAGTATTTATTTTTTTTCTTTTTCTCCATATCTCATTCTCTAATGAAGCTTTAATAAACGTTTATTTAGATTAATAAACGTTTCCTTTTTTTTTGTTTTTATCTTTATATAAGTAAACAGATTGCTCCACTCTCACATATGTGCTGTGTGTGTGCGCATGTGTGTGTGTGCGTGTGTGTGTAACAAGATTCAAGCCAAATTAACTTCAAATAATTTTTTAAATGATCGACAAATAAAATCAAAATATTAAAGTGAAGGTTTTTATTATTCAGCTACAATTTCAGGCTAGCATCTACATTTTTATTTTTATCTTATTTCGACGGATTTACTTTCGACATTTCTCGTGTTGCCTGAAGTGTTGCCATTAATGGATGAATTATTCACAGTTGCATCCTGACTTTGCTGTTTCTTTTGTCGGGAAACTCTCAAGACATCCTCGCGTGTTCCTTACATCAGGTGATTTGTTTCTCTCTCAACCTTCACCTCTTAACTTATGATATGAAATTGACCAAAAACTATAAATTAAAAACATAAATATTTACATTTCCAAAGAAATTACTATCATTTCACTAATGTGGAGGTGGAAATCGAGAAATAAAAAAAAATAAGAAAAAGATCTAACAAGTTCCTAATTATTTCTATTTATTCTAACTTGTGTTCTCATCTTGGTTATTATGATCACAAAAGACTTTTTTCTTCAAGAAAACTGAAAAACAGCGCAACCGACGGTTTCGGGCAATTTTTGTTCCTGGCCCGGGTGTACGTGTTCGGGTCCCCACCTTAAAAAAGACCTTGATCACAACTCGTCTTAGTGGGGAGACAGAGTAAATAACTAATTGGTTGGTTAATTTTGTTTTACGGTATATCAACCTTCATGATTTATTTAATACCAGAATCTAAATATTTTGTACATTATTTAATGCTTTCAGGGTAAAGATATGTATTTAGATATACAGTTTATAGATCATAAAATATATTGTTGGTAATTTTGCTATAAAATATATTTTTATGTTTTTTTTTAAGTTTTGTATTGTTATTTTTTATTATAAAAATGTGCTGTTGGTTTTTTGTTTGGCAGTTCACTATTTGCCCATAGCTGGGACCCTAACAAGTGCTACCACTCCGGATCAGGGTGGACCTTGAACAACAGCAGTTAAAAAGTGTTCCCATTCTCCACAAGATCTCCAATCTCCTGATCAAAGGCCTTGCTGCCAAATGTAATTTATCGTCATACCCAAGACGAGGTTTGGGATGAACAGGAGTCCTAGTAGACGTTTAAAGCAAGGAACCTCATGTATTAAATTGTTAATTCCACTGACCTAAAGTACATGGATTTCACTGACAAGCAGTAAATTTATGACTATCAGGTAAACTGCATAACATTATGTTATTGTGCTGTAGGAAAATGAAGCGGTGTAATTTTGTAACCTTTACACCTAAAGTCTATACTTACCTGATCAAAGACTTATATCAGAGCCTAGTGTGTGTGTGTGTGTGTGTGTGTGTGTGTGTGTGTGTGTGTGTGTGTGTGTGTATAAGTGTGTGTGTGCAGATTTTTTCACTTCCCCCATTTTCCAATGTTCTCAATTTACGAGGATTGCTTCGAAAGTATTGCCTCCTATTTTATTACGCTGGTCCCCAACATTATAGGTAGATGTTGGTGATATATCAGTAGAGGTTGATGATAACGACAGTAATGAAGCGGTAGTCACGCAAAATCTCGTCAGACACGAAAGTGCGTACTAACCAGGGGTGTGTGTCATTGAATTGTCCATGCAAAGTAATGCACCCATTTACATCCACTGACATTTGTTGAATATTTAAGCAGAGTAAACAATGGACGTGGACAGGCGGTAGGTTATGTATTTTAATGAAAAAATGGGTTGCTTAAAACTAAAAATACCGACTCAAGGGTTTTATTGCATTCAATCTAACAAAAATAAACTGAAATGCTCAAGAAACTGAAATCCTTTAATATATATATATATATATAATTTTTTTTTATATTTACAGTTGCAAAAATCTTTTATTCGATACAATTTTCTATGTATATAATTTATTAAAACTATCTTATTAAGGAGTTTTGATGGAAAATGTATTAGTAAATTCACCAGCAAGTCTTCTGAAGATTGGATGTAATCCCATTAAAATTAGGGTAGAGACAATCAGAAGATAAATAAATTATATTTGTTAATTTATTATTAATGTTCTATGTCTGTGTCTAGTACTATAAAGAGTGTTTGTCCTTAAAATATTATCTTATAGAATTACCCTTGTCGACCATTCTTTGATAAGATACAATCTTTGTTTTATAAAACACACACACAATCTATATATATATATATATGTGTAGTTATGTGTGCAATGAATTATTGATTAAGTTTTTAACATTAATTACTTTAACTGCTCGACATAAATAGTAATTCAATTTCTTCCAAAGATTTGTTCTTTGTCTCTGGCAAGAAGAAGAAACAAAACACCGACCCAACCACTGCCACGGATGCCATCACATAGAAAACACCTGCAAAATTAAAAAAAAATCAGATAGAAATCAAATGATAACTTTTTAACTATTACAAATTTTTGATGCTTGTTACTTTAATCCTAATTTCAGTTGCTTTTCAAATTACAATGAAAACAGGTTCTTTATTTTTCTCTCTCTTTATCCTCGTTGTATTCCACGTGTCTAAGTATTTCTTCGTAGCTTAACCAGGAAATAATTGTAAATACAGATCATATGCGTCAGGTCACGAAAAAACAATCTAAAAAAAGTTGTTTTATCGAGAATGAGACGAATGTTTCCCGTTGGTCTTCATTGTTCAACATGACATGCTTCTGATTCCTGATGACCTTCTGAGATTGCATGTATGATGAAGCAGAATTGTTTTGGGATCTATATTGCTAGAACATGAGAGAGAATTTCAATGTCTCCCTCTCAGTTTGAAAACAGACGAAGCATAAATTCGTTTTCTGACTAAATTGCCAACCGGCGGAGGCAGGATCTATTTGCCTTTCTCTAAATTGCCAACCGCCAGAGGCAGAGTGTCCTTATTTTACTTGACGTTGCCAGCTGCTGGAGGCAGAGTGTCCTTATTTTACTTGACGTTGCCAACCGCCAGAGGCAGAGTGTCCTTACTTTACTCGAAGTTGCCAGCCGGCGGAAGCACAATGTTCTTGTCTTCCTCTAAATTACTCGCCGCTTGACAAAAGTTTCTTGTTTTCCTCTCGATAGCAGAATGGATAAATTCGAGACATAATTGTCAACCGTATATTGGAGTTTTTTTCCTGCGACAAAGAGAGAAAACCACGATCGAAGTCTGTTCATAAAATTTTATCGAATTTTTTCATGAGTCCTGTTTTGTCATCTTTGTTTAATGAGAAATATCAGTCAATCGTTATCATTTCACCATCAAAAAGACAAAGTTAATTCTGTCTTTATACCTTTGTTTCATCCATTTTGATTGATGGATTCTCTCATTTCTTCATATAAACATAGAAATGCTATCAGGTCAAATATTCTTGTGAAAAAATATTCAACATTAGCCAGTTGAAACGTTTTATAACCAATAGCTAAAATCATAGAGGAGTAACTCCAAAGAACTATATACCAAGACTCGTTCCGGTGAATACCCGGAAAAAACTGTTCGTCATTTCGAATTTATTCTCTCAAATCGACGTACATATTGAAACGATTGATTTCTTTATTCTCTCCGTGCGAACGACACGCGGACTCTTCTGTTAGCATTGGCCGGCTTGCAGTCCAAGTCATCTGAAATATCTCAACAACGGTTTAATGATGATCTTCATTGAATACCTGGCGACCATTTTCAATATTTGTGTCATTTCGGCTTGTTCAAGGTCGATCAGATCGATGTTAGTCCTCGAGTGGCATTTGCTAACGTTTGAACACTTGTACACCTCGGACTTAAAACCTTCTCGTGACATTCCAACAGTTTCGACAGCAGTTTTCCCCGAAAAGTAAACAAAACTTCACGCACATTTTGTCTTCATTTTTTTTTTTTTTTGTCGGCTTTTGTGAACCAGTTCAAAGGCGATAGGAATCATTCAATTCAGAATCACGCCATGGAGTAGACTGGCTTAGAATCGCGACGCCTATTAATTTCTAAATTTAGTACTTCTGTAAAATATTACATCCTTGCTCCCATTTTTTCCCTGTAGATGCAAATATTCGTGTTTCTATAAGAGATTTCATTTCCTCTGGAACGACAGCGGGTTCGTATTTTGGGGGAGCCTCTGATCGAGGAAGAAGGTTAGAATCATTTTAGGCTGAAACTGTGAATTACGGAAGCTTATTGCGAGTGATGTTGACCGAATTAGAAGTGGAAGCAATGTTGAACACAGCTACAAAATTGGTTGATATCTTACCAAATTCATCATATGGTACCAAAAGCCTGGTAGGTTGCACTTTAGAATCTTTAGTGAAGCAAATATCAATAATGTAGCATTTTGACGGAAGTACATTTGTTTAGAACGAGCCAAACTTATGTTGGTGATATAACAGTAGATGATAATGAAGATCAATTGAGCGGCAGTCTCGCAAAATCTCGTCAGATACAAAAGTGCGTACTATGCAGAGGTGTGTGTCATTGAATTTTAGATGGAAAGAAGTAAATGCACACATTTACATTCATTGACATTTGCTGAATATTTAGGCAGAGTAAACAATGAATTTCAATGAAAACGTGAGTTGCCTAAAACTAAAAGTACTGATTTCACGTAGCATTTATAATGATGTAGCACTTTGACTGAAGTACTTTTGTTTAGAATAGGCGCCGGGCAGTGTTCTTCTGCAGAGTCACCCCCCCCCCAAAAAAAAAATTAAGTAACTTTTTGTTTTGGTGCATACCTTCAGACGTTCTTAAGTGAACGAAGAGTGCTCTCTTTGCTGTCAATGTCTGTGATTACTTGTAGATTGTTTTTCCCGGAATTTATTTAAAGCCAGAAAATATTTTTAGATTGTAAGAATGCTTTTTTGGAGTTCATAATGATCTATTAATACAAATCCCTGTTAATTAACCCATAGCTGGGAAGAGAAGAGGCGTTTCGTATATTTCCCAGGGGTACTTGTGCGTAAGTCAATCTACCCAACTCGATTGAAATCGAAACTCGGCTCTCCGATTTCCAATTCCGAGTCGTTACACCTTCCACACATCTAAGCTGGTATTCCCAAGCAGTTACCCATCGACCAGGTTCGACGTTGCTTAACTTTGCTGATCGTGCGAGAACCGGTATTCCAACGTAATATGGACGTAAGACTTCAATGTATATAAATCATCTCCCGGTCTAGTAGGAAAATCATTAAATCCGTAGCCTAATGATGTAAAAACAAAAATTGGCCCCAATTAGGTCATGAAGTGGATGCAAAATTTCAGGAGTTGATTCTGCTGAAAACGTTCCCACCTGTTTTCCATCTTGAGTCTTAAAATCGTTGAAGGTTAGCACGCCATTTCTTCTGAGTAAGACAGACACTGGCCAGACAGTGTTTGCAACGTTTACTAGTTGATTTCTTCGGGAACCTTCCTTAGCACTCACCTCATAAATGTGTTAGGCCATGGACTTTTTGATCCACTCTCATATTTTGATCCTTGCTTTCCTTATATACATCCTATTTTGATTTTTCTAAATTCTAAGATATTAACCATCCTCTTAACTCACAAGCAGGTAAATGTAGTATGCAAATATTACTATTATATTTTGAATTTATTAGAATTTGTGTCTTTGTGTGGAGATGAATGTTCTATGTATTCTGTGTTTGTTCCTTTATGCAGTTTTACGATATGAAAGAGTGAATGAACGACGGAGAGTCCAACATTATTCACACTCTTGTCTAAAGATATGTTATGGTGAAAGTGCGGATCATTTTTTACTTACACTCATATCAGTTTGTAATAGACATCAGTAAAAGGAACTCGGTCTTTGTTTTGTGGTTTAGGGAGATGCAGTCGGTATGAATCGCCCATTTCGTATGATTTTCTCAATACAATTTAAATTAATTTTACGTGATAACGTAAGTGGGAAACTAGTAATACAGAATTAATTGATGAGATATTAAATTACTTAAGAGGAGCCTGAAAAGTTTTACTGTCTCGATTTGAACTTGTTAATAAAACCAGTCAAAATGATGGCAAACTCATTTACTCCCACAGCAAAAAGCCTTTTTTTTTTACTAGCACTTCTCTTCTTTCATTACAACTGGTCAGCTCACAAACATTTGATTCCGGTGAGTTTAAATCATAGTTATTTACTAAGTACAGTTCAGTTGTGACACAAGGCCGAAAGTATGGGGGACCCGGTGAGGGTCGAAATCGCTACTCAGTCGTAATTGATCTCGCAAAGACAAGCTTTGTTAACCATTACACCACGTCTAGATGCCTGATATATATATATATATATATATATATATATATATATATATATATATATATATTACAATAAATTCAAAATATAATACAAATATATTCATACCACATTTACCTGATTGTGATTTAAGAGGATATCCACAGAAAACCCTCCCTGCCTCCCATCAGAATGGTTGATGCCCAACTCCTCGAGAGCGCCTCGTTGCGCCTGCTTAGTCTCACGATGTCCGCTGATCTGAGGTGGAACAAATACATTGACTCAATAGCTTCATCTACCGCAAGGAAACTTGGTTGTCTGTGTCGTGCCAGAAAGGTTTTCTCGCTTGAGTACATCCTTCAAATCTACAAATCAACCATTTGCCCTTGCATGGAATACTGCTGCCATATATGGTGTGGCACCATTTACCAAGGCAGAAAAAGAAAAGAAAAGAAAGAAAGGAAAAGAGAGGCGAAGACTCAAAGCGTGGATGATAAGCAGAACACCCACGGCTAAGAGACAATGGATAAAGGATATTTTGATAAGTAACAAATGGCGAAGAGTGTCATTACAATGGCAGGGAAATTCTGAGTGGATAAAGGAATCGGGTGTGTTCTGGCGACGGGCTGTGTTATCGGGATACATAAACAAACCGCTAATGCAAATCCAAATGAAAATGTTATTTTGATAAGTGACGAAAAACAGGTGGACTACAGGGCTTTCGATAGATATGAAAAATTAATTGTGTCAAAAGCCGCACACGAGGTGGCCACTGACCGTTTTCTTTCGACAGAACATCTTTAGCCTGCGATAATAAAACTATGTTATCAGAAATATGTACCGAAAAAATGAATGGGAACCTAGAAATGTTTCTTTTCGAGGCGACGGTCTGGCCGTGTTAAAAAGACCACCCATTCTGATAATTAGCGATAAGATGACTGACGAAGCCCAGGTGAGAACAAGAGTTATGACCAACATCGATCGTATTGTTCTGGTTGCGGCTAGAAAATGATAACTGCGATTAAAAGAAAGAAAAGTAAAAGAAAAAGATAATTTTTTTTGTTAAGCAAGATATTTTTTTTTCCTGAAACAAAGCCGCGGGATCGTACACGCCCGACTAGACATCATTGGTCGAGTGGTGATCACGTGACGCACGGAGGAGGCTGTCATCGCCCATTTAGAGGATGGGGATGAGAGGTTGCTACGAAGAAGTGGGGAGGGCAGTTCACGCCCCTCTGAAGTATGGTGAGAAGGTGGGAGTAAGAAGGCTCCCAAAAATGGAAAAAAAAAGTGGAAAATTCTAACCAGAAATAAAAAGAGGTGGATATGTATTTAGAATTATCGAGGACCCCCGGCGCCGACAAACCCACCCCGGTTTTGATCGGCGTCCATATAACGAAGTCGCAGCGAGCAGAAATCAGTTCGAGTTAGAGTTTCAGTTCCAGTTCCAGCAGAGAGTTCGAAGTTCGCAGTGGAAGTTGGTTCCACCTCGCAGATAGCTGACTCGAAAGATTCACGCAAATTCCGGACTCCTCTTCAATCCAAGAACAATTAATTTGAAGAGCGACTTAGATCCAGACCACCAAAATAAGTTTTTTTTTTCGATTTTCGCCCGAAGACACACCGAAAAACCAATTTCTTAAAGAGCAAACAACTTGAAGCGTTAAAACTCGCCTAACGGAAAACAACGTGTCACAATCCATAGAACCGGTCGGGAAATAGACGCAGTCCTATGTATCCGGCAACTAGACATAAAATTTGTTATCCTTTTTTTGATACCTTGAATTTTTGAGTTATCATTTTATTTTATTTTATGCATATTTGTGCGGTGTCACCCCCGTTTGAACCCGATTGGCATTACGGCCCCAACTACTGATTGATCTCGTCTGCCTAAGATCAATTCACAACGTGGGTAGGCAGACTGGAGATCAATGCAGTTACTTTGGTAACCAGGCGTTGGAAGCGAGTTGGAAACGACGAGGCTGATATCGAATCTAACCAGATTCCCATCCGAATCACCAAAAGGTTAGAACGTCACATTTGGGTGCCGCGACCGATACCAAGCCAGTTGGTCGTCACAGGACGAGACAACACGACTGACGCGACAGGCGGACGTCACGTTTGGAGCGGCGACACCCGAACGGAGCAGCGAGGAGCGAGCGAAGGCTGTGTTTAGGGACGTCGCAGCTGACGCCGCGACCAAGGACGTCACATATGGTCTGGTGAGGAAAAACAAAATCCAGAGACGGATATGCCATGTCATAGTTCCTGATCTCGTCTACAGTCACTTTCTCACAGACCTGCCGTGGTTTCCCTGTCTCTTCTACAAGTATTTTCATGGCAACTGCTCTGACCAGCAAGTTTCACTGGTTGCTATACTGAATGAATTTAAGCATGCTAAGTTGCTATCTCGGCCCCACCCTTTAACTGTCAAAACAGTTAAATGTAACCGTCTCTTTTACTCAGTTTCTTTTCTCGCACTACCCATATGTGAAACTCCCTTCCTCTTACTTGCTTCCCTGATAACTATAATATTCAAATATTCAAATGTAATGTCAATTGACATCTTCTGATGACTTGATCTTGTTCCCCATCATTCTCTTTGTCCTTTCCTCAAACACACCTTTTTTACTCTTGTTCTTAACCCCTTGCGTGTTAATGGTCTTGCTTGGGGTGAAATGCTTAATATATATATATATATATATATATATATATATATATATATATATATATATATATATCTGGGGAGAGTCTAGTAGCATATATATATATATATAACGAAAGATTTGGAATCCTTCCTTTTGGAGAAATAATAATATTTTTTGTGAATTAAAAAAAAATCAAATTTTCAAGAAATATTTCATAAACCTACCGTAATTATGAATGGCTTCTATAACGGAGAGGAATGTCACCGAGACGATGAGGTTGCTCACCAAACAAGTCATGGATCCAATCCCATTGCCTATACTGCGTGCCCAAAGTGGGTAAATCTCAGCATTGATAGTCCAGGGTAGAGGACCGATGGCTTAGAAGACAGAAAGAGAGAGAGAGCGGGGTGAGAGAGAAAAATCGTTAAAAAACTGAAAAAAATAGTTTTGCATATGAATTTTTCTGAGGCGAATTGCCTTTAATATTATACAATTTAGGAGCATTTTCTTCTCTTTCTTTCATCTAATCTCTTTCATCTACCTACGTTTCGTATATGTTTGGTATTTTTCTTATGAGATTTCAGAATAACATAGGCTATTGGAACAAATATTGCTAGAAGGTTGCTGAAGACATCAAACATACGAAAGCTGGAATGTATATCAACCAAAAAAAAAAAAAAGAGACAAAAAAGAAATGAGGGAATTGGTCAGAAAGAATCGATGTATTCTCAAATCTACCATTTACTTACATTATGTAAATTTATATTTTGAGTCAGGAAAAAAAAAGAGTGTCGGTTTGAAACCATGTTGCAACGAAATTTCAAACTGACACTCCTTAAGAGAAATACAAAATGGCGCGTCCGAAGTATCGAATATTGATTTGGGCTACAAAAGAAATATCTTTATACAGAAAATATTACGTGACAGCCTCGCTCAAGCTCGCCAGAGTACTTGGTTCGAGACAAGTAAACGAGACAGCGGGTTTCTTTATCTTTCACCGATACCGATTCAACATGGCTACATCTGGTGAAACACTGTGACATTTAAGTTAGAGACGCTTTTTATTCCTTTGTTAGCATTCTTTGTTTATTATTCCCGATGTGTGATAACGTAAGTGGGCAACTAGTAATATTTAGTCCGATGAAGTCCTAAATGACTAAAGGACTTTATCGGACTAAATACGTCACACGAAAATTTCGTCATACGAAAACTTTTTTCCACTTTGTCATACATTTTCCCTCCAATATACAGGGTGAGATGCGTAAATTGTCGCCATTTTATATTTTTAAGTTCGCGTTGTTTGTTTTTGACTTTATCGACTGCACAGTATAGTAGGATGAGATAGGTACCATCTATGAGAAAGAGCACCCTGATGCAATTCACTCTGCCAGAAATTTGGAAATGGCATTCATGCTGGAAGCTCCAATACGGACGTTTCAGAGTGTTTGGGCGTCAATCTGAGAACAGTGCAAAGGATTCGGAAAGAGTTGGATGAGTCTAATGGTGATTATGAAGGTACGTTAGCTCGGAAAACTCACTCTGATCGTTCTAATAAAAGAACTCTCGAATTTATTGGTGAGGGCCTCAGACTGAACATGGAGGCCTACATCAAGTGCCTTGAGGAGGTAATGTTGCCCTGGGTCAAGAGGGTAGCTGCTGCGAGATCTTATATCTAGCAACAGGACGCTGCACCATGACACATAAACAGGAGAACCCAGTTATGGCTGTTAGACAATTTCTGCGACCACATCACACTTTACATCTGGCCACTTAACTCTCCAGATTGCAAACCCCTTGATTGTGGGGTGCAGTTGGGTGAGAGACTAACAAAACTCCTTGTAAGACAAAAGACAAACTGAATGGCAAAGATTATGGCAGCATTTACAATTTATTTGATAAATCCCGGCATTTGAATTAGTGTTGAATTTATTTTTAGATATTTATATCTCCAATTGTCTTGGAGGTGATGGTAACGATCCTAGTATAAGGGATGACTACTTTGTTTGCGAATTTTTTAGAATGATGCTGGACATAACTTTGATTTCACTAATGCTACCCTAATTAAAAAAAAGAACATAATTCTTTCAGGAGAAAATACATTGAAAACTTTAATAATAACATTATTACGCACGATAAACACACGCGTCCTAAAACATTACATCGCCATCTTCCTTTGAATCTATTCTTAAAGAATCTAACTAATATCTATCTAATACAAAGAATACATTCTTAAACGGGTGAACTATAAACTAGAACCCTGCGACTCACTGATGCGTGGCTTGACCGCAGAAAGGTGAAGATAAAAAACGAAGCAACTAGACAAACACACGCACACAATTCAATTAAAAATACACATTATCATCCGTTGCTCACTTAGACATTAAAGAATTTTCACAAAGCTACATAGAATTACTTACGGTTTTAATACACGTGACAGGTGTCTAGCCAATGAGAACTGACCCAAACATATTTGAAAATAGTGTTTTTTGTCTTTTTGCCTTTTTTTTCTCAATCTCTGACGAAGTTTTAATAAAATTGAAACATGTTAGATTGATATATGTTCCCTATTTGTTCTTTATTTTATCATATATTTTACATATACATGTATAAATATTTTAACACATACATACATATTTTATAATATACATATATATATATTTTATCATATACACACATATATATATATATATATTTTATATACATATATATATTTTCATATACACATATACATATATTTTCTCATATACTTATTATTCATATACATATATATATTATATATTTATCATATACACACACATATATATATATATATATATATATATATATATATATATATATATATATATAGGTAAGAATATTATCGAGAAGAGAGAGAGAGAGAGAGAGGGAGAGAGAAAGGTAAATAAGAAAAAGGTAAGTGAAAAAAAGGAAGACGAATATTTGAATAAATAAATTCACTTACCTGGAGCGCAGAACATAAGAAAGAACGCGAGTCCGACAATCGCTACCCACGTGAAAGGTACGGGACAATAATCATAAGCCCATTTCATGGAATATTTCGAAAGAGTTAATGTAGAGTTACATGCCCCTGCTTTGGATATCAGATATGAGACGTCACTGACTGGTAAACAAGCACCGTTGTTGACGTTAGGTTTGTTTTCATAACAAAAGCCACAGAGTGGATCTCTGATACAGTCGTCACAATAGCTACAAGAAGAAGGATGATCGTTGAAAACAATTTTTCTACTGTCAAAAGTAGGAACTACGGCAATATTGTTACGGATCCTCATCTAAGTTCCTTCTAAAACCTGTATCCATGCTTATATTTTAGAAGCATTTTAAAAAGGAATAAAGTAAAATCGAATATTAACATTTTTTTTTAACCAAACTTGCATGCATTGGAGCAAAGATTTTACATTTTCCTTTCACTTTTGATCACGTGTTGACGACGTGATTTAATCGGATGAAACGCAGACAGTAAAACGACCTTGAACTCTCTGAAACCCTGCAGAAGAGAGAAAGGGTCAGTGATCTATTTTCGCTTACACAGGAAAAAGGTCCATATTTGGAAGTCAAGGACCACGTGATGAAACCAAGGGGCGAAAAAACGAACAGCGCAAAATGAGACCGGCTTTAAGTAATCAAACCAAACGGATGGAGTTCGCGATAAAATGCCATGATCAGCTATAAAATGTGATGATGATTCGCGTAGGCGAAACAAACTTCCTACGGTATTTTCACCTATTGTTTGGCAGGAGGGCCACAGCCAGCTATCAATTTAGATACGCGAAAGGAATAGAAATCTAAGATGATTTCGAAGCTCGTACAACTTTAACAAATTTTAACCCCCACCCCCAAAAAGTAAACTTTGGCATGAGAGAAAAAAAGCTGAATGGAAACCAGAAGAAAGATACCCGTTATTCTGAGACCTTGAACTGATTCGTCACTCAAGCCCCTAGACCAGAAACAAGAAAAAGAAAGAAAAGACATCAAAAGAAACGAAAAGAGAAAAGAGATCTAAAAGAAATATAAAACAAAAAAAAGAAAAGAAAAAAAAGAAACACACATAAGAGACATTAAAAGAAGATAAACGAAGAAAACGAACTTTCATAACAATCAGATAAGTCATTGTTTCTCTTACATGTTTATACTTTGTATTTTGTCACGTTGTATATTTGCATGCAGGCCTGATCTAAGATTTTCTATTAATTGTTTAGTTACATTTCTGAGAGGATAAATTCCCTCACCCGTTATTACGTTCTCCGACATTTCTTTTTGACCGATTGTTTTTGTTTTCGCCGTATCCATCATATTGTTTTCCCATTGTATGTTACAGTAATAAATTTATTTAATTGTTAACTCTGCATATGTGTTTCTGTTGTTTGTCATGCTCTCTGTGTGCCCCATTAAGCAATTCCAGCCCGCTCGTCTGTGTCTGATCAATCGGAAAGAGACCCTTGGGAAAAGAAATTTGTTGTAATAATTGTATACACGTTAAAATAATAATACAAGTTACGATCCTACTCTATCTCCGCTAGCGATTCGGCTAGAGGAGGGTGGAGGGTCATAACAATATATATATGTGTATGTGTGTGGATATACATATATATATATATATATATATATATATATATATTTATATATATATATATATATATATTTATATACATACATATATATATATATATTTACTTTACATACATACATATATATATATATTTACAATTTTACATACATACATATATATATATATATTTTTACACATATATATATATATATATATATATATATATACATACATATATATATATATATATTTACATACATACATATATATATATATATTTACACTTTACATACATACATATATATATATATATATTTACACTTTACATACATACATATATATATATATATTTACACTTTACATACATACATATATATATATATTTACATATATATATATATTTACACTATATACATACATATATATATATTTACACTTTACATACATACATATATATATATATTTACATACATACATATATATATATACTTTACATACATATATATATATATATATTTACACTTTACATACATATATATATATATTTATATTTACATATATATATATATATATATATTTACATACATATATATATATATTTACACTTTACATACATACATATATATATATATATATATATATATATATTTACATATACATATATATATATATATTATATATATTTACATACATACATATATATATATATATATTTACACTTTACATACATACATATATATATATATATATATATATTTTAAAAATTTACATACATACATATACATATATATATATATATATATA